TTTCTTTTCTCAAAAGTCGAGCAAAAAAGTAACTAAGCAGTTGTCTTTGTCACCATGCAACAAAATATTTTTCTTTTTCAACCAAACACATTCAATTTTGATTTCATTCAACTATTTTATATTATTTTTATTTGATTTCAAAAGCCTTAATAGAACTCCCTCGATATCATTTCTTATCTCGAGTAGAATTCGTTTAGGCGCATTTTCTTTTTTGCCCACTATGTACCATAACATTCATTGATTTCTTACAATTAAAAAATTTTTTGATTTCTATTAATTATACTCAACCTATATCATCAACACCATTCTATCTTACTTTTATGTCACCAGCAATGCTTGTATATAGACTCAATACCCACAACTAATTTTCCCACAAAATTATTTTTCACTTTACAGAATTCTCTCAGGCTAACCCCTTCTTGAATTCTTCACATGTAGGGGGCGCATCTGTCATAATTTGTATATAATTAAATGCAACCCCGACCCACTATGTATGTACCATGTATGATTTTCAAAGACTTAATAAAGAACAAGGTAACTGGAGGGAAGCAAGTAGCATTAAGATATAGGAAGTAGACCTAAGGCTGGCACGACTATTCTGGGCACCCCTGTGTCAATATTGCAGGGGCAGAAACCGGACGTCTCTAGTGACCAGAAGTTATAAATGTTAAAGCTAACACCCAATATTTCCGGCAAAGACAGGACGTATCCAATATCCACAGAAGTTATATTAGTATAGAGACACCCCATACTTCCGACCCAAGATAGGACGTATTTGATAACACGGAAGTAAATAAAGTCAAAATAGCACTCGACACTTCCTATCAAGCAGACCACAGCTTTCATCAAGGAAAGCCGCGGTCCAATCAAAAGATAGCATCTAAATAGGTCAACCAATAGGGAAAAAGCATGTGATCATCTCTCAACCAATCAGAGAGAAACGGAGTCTTGGTGTTAAATCGAAAGGCAAGGATGGTCAGTTAGGTTTTCGCTCTCATAGGAACAACACCTGCAGTAGCGACTTGGCTCCCACCGAGTTCGGATCAGCCTTCGACTTGCTCCCACCAAGGTAACATCTGTTCTAGAGATCTCTCTCTCAGCTCAGCTCATAGCTATGTCAATCACCGCCATGTGATCAGATAAGGAACAATCAAACCCGCTCCTTCTCAAACCTTCTTCCCTCCAATCCAGTTGCCTTTTATTTTCAAAACAATCACGTGTCCTGATTATTCCTAACTGTATGCTGCAACTTCCACTCAAACGGCTGCGCTTCAATCAAATATCACCATTCGCATCCAACAACAAGAAATTCCGCAACGATATTGCCACATATATATATTTTTTTAAATTTGTAATTGCCTTAAATAAATTGTGCTATGTCATCATGACATTTATCTTTCCTAATTTTCTACCTGACAATATGAACTAGCTTAATAGAGAACTTTTCAGATATTTGACCAGTTTGATATTCTTAAAATATTTTATACGCCGTATGTGTTTATCAAAGGGAGGAATTTTGAATAGGCACTTGTGAAAAGTTCTAAAAAATTTCGACAAATCATTAATAATGTTTAAAAAGTTGTGCTAAATAATGCTAGTATGGATTACAAACCTATTTTTTATGTAAACAATCCTGACTTTTATATATTTATAAAGTATTTACTCACACAAAAGGCGCATAAATAGAATCTCGTATTGTGTGAATTGACTTTTTTTCATTTTTCCAATACAAATATTGAATACATTTTTTAAATTCAAACAATGGTTAGATCATCATTAACGAGCACATTCCTGAAATACCATTTTTAGAATAAAAAATGGCATAAACTGACCTAATCCAACCTCCAATAAACGATTACCTCGAGGAGAGACCACCAGAAGAATCGAGGATTTTGTATTATCTCTCATTGAAGGTGTTATTTTAGTTTATACCAAAAGTAATTTAGAGATAAAAAAAAACACATTAATCTTCAACATGTATTACAATCATGGACAAAACTAAAGAAAGTTGTAACTTTTAGCATGTATATCGGTATTCAAACAATAACATTGAAAGATATTTGATAGACGGAGACCTTTATTGAAGACACGCGAGATAACCAAGTGTAAACAAAACTATATCTTTTCTCCTTAAAAAAAAAATCGACCATCGACATCAAATACTTTTCACTTCTTTAACTTTTGTCCATGAGTTTATCTGACGTTTCAGCAAATCATTGTCGTCTTTTTCAAGTTAGATATTTTAACACGAATTTGACTTTTGTTGATCTATAAAGTTTATCGATATGAACTTTAGAGATGGAAAAAAAAGTCAGCTTCATGTTGAGCTTTCCAATCCGAAAAGAATGATAGTTTTTTTTTTGTTTGTTTGTTTATCCCTAGTACACGTGGTACAGGCCATGATAATCATGGTGTGTAGAAGTAAGCGACTGCTTTTACTGTAAGTGCACCACATATCTACACATGTGAAAAGCAGTTCGACTTTGCACTTACAAATGTGCCAGTGCCGCGTTTGGTTACTTGCACTCGCTGGTGGGGTTGGACTTTTGTAAGAATCGGGGGAGATTGGAGCATTTTTTTTTAATTAGAAAAAAAGTCCAATGCGGGAATCGAACCCGGGTCGCAGCGGTCGAAAACCAACGTTTATACCATCCTTCTACCGACCCCCCCCCCCCCCCCCCCTGGATGATAGTGGATGGCCGAAACGTTCGTAATATAAATGTTGAAGATTATAAAGTGTCTATCTCCAATTGATTATAAAAACCAACCTACAATAATGCTATCTTCTATATATACAGTTGAGATTCCTTTTAAAGGACAACACTCAGTTAAAGAGACAAATTGTCCTTTAGAGAGAGATGTTCTCTTACCAGAGAGTTGCTATTTTATATATGTTAAAACTAAAAATATCTTCATTATATATCTTTGTTCAACACTTAGTGATTATTTATAGTAAAAACTAACTGCAAACACTCTGAAAATGATTTTTTAAAATAAAATACACATATGTTCTTTGTTCAAATTTGATTTTCTGAATTGTTCGTTAGCGGGGTGTAATGTTAATCTACTTATATATTTGCCTTATTCTGTCTGTCTGAAGCTCACGGATGGGATTTTTCATAACCATCGGTGGTTCAGTGGTAGAATGCTCGCCTGCCACGCGGGCGGCCCGGGTTCGATTCCCGGCCGATGCATTTTTTTTTTTTTTTTTACAATTTTCAAAACTCATTTATATATTATACAAGAATGACATCCACGGCGCTAATTTATAATTGTAACGAATAGTATTTGAATAAAAGCATTTAATCGGGTAAAACCCGGGCGTTGCCCGGGTCATTCGTATATAATAATTGTATAAACGAATGCAAGACAAAATCACCGCGAATGTTTCTTTTTTTTTAAGGCAATTTCTTTTTAAGGCAATTATCGTTATTTATCGTTAATTTTTGTTTCGATTTTATTGAAAAAAAAAACGATATGGTGCCTTTAAAAAATGATCTTTATTACTATGCAGTTTTCTATTTAGTCAATATACCTAAGTTCATGTTGCAAATGTAATTATCTCTATCGATTTAGTAGGTGAAATGCAAAAAAAAAATCGACATGATGAAATCTTTATGAAAATTCACATTTTTATTTTTATATTTTCAAGACACACACAGTTTGGGGCGGGACGTTTCACAAGAGAGACATCCACGGCTCCAATTTATAATTGTAACGAATAGTATTTTAATTAAAACATTTTAAAAACACACAGTTTGGAACGGGACGTTTCACAAGAGTGACATCCATGGCGCCAATTTATAATTGTAACGAATAGTATTTGAATAAAAACGTTTTTAAAATATATGCGCACTCGGGTAAAACCCGGGCGTTGCCCGGGCCATTCGTCTAGTTACATATAAATGATTAATAAATTATGTATTGGGAAATTTTCTGTTGTTTGGAGGTGTTCTCTAGCGAGAATGTTCACTAGTACGAAGAACGTATTTTCAAAGGGAGGGCATTTTCAAGAAAATATCTTGCATTTAAAAAAAAATAACAAAATGATAGATGCGAAATTTTACTCAAAACCACATATAGACCTCCATGTCCATAGCTCTAAATCATAATCTCCAGGTAGGATTTCTAAATTTACCAAATCTGATGTTTATGTCTTTGTCACTGAATCTGCTAGATTCTTTGGCAAAAAGGTTCTTTATTAAACACATCGTGAGTTTTTGAGTTCTTGCTTTTCAACGTGCAAAATTTCCTATATCAGAATGCACATACCATCATTAGATGATTGTTTTTGTGTTTATTTTAACTTTTGGATTTAACTATTCGTTACAATTATAAATTGGCGCCGTGGATGTCACTCTTGTGAAACGTCCCGCTCCAAACTTTGTGTCTGAGAAGCGATATTTTTATAGAAAGATGATCTGGCTTTTGTTTTCTGTTCGAATGAATGTTTTTCTGTTAGAATTTTGTTCCTGCGTACAAAATAATGAACTGGTTTCACCCGTGGTCTCTGCTTTTTGGAATTTTTCCCGATATAATTTTGTATCTGATAATCAAACATGATACAGCAATATCGTCATAATCATTTTCTGACTAAAAATATATAGTTTTAATAATTGATTTGTATATATTTTTTAAATAGCCTATCGTCTTCCCCGTATTTTTTTTCCTATCTATGGAAATTTTGGTTTGAATTAGTGAACTACTGCGAATTTGTATACCGGACATACAAACAAACATACAAACAATTAATTTATATATATATATATAAGATATCTTATTGTATTATACAGTTAAACCTGTCTATAACGCCTCCTCTTGGGACTCACCAAAATAGGGTGCTCTAGACAGGTCACTTTTAATGTAAAATGTTTACATTTTATTGTTTAAAATCGGGCGCTATAGAGAGGAAGACGCTATTTAGAGGGGGCGCTATAGACAGGTTTGGAAATATCTTTATTTACGGGGCTACTAACCAGAATGAATGGAAAAAAGGTAATAGCCTACAGCACCAGGTGGTCACCCTCCCAAGTACTGACCGGGCCCGACATTGCTTAACTTCGGTGATCGGACGAGAACCGGTGTTTTTATAGACAGGTTTAACAGTATCTATATATTTATATATCTAATATGAATAACTCCAGGAACCTAAGTTACTTTTATGTGGTGTGTGTGTTACCTTAAGAATATATTTTAAAGAAAAAATGAAATCTTTATGATAAATTTTCAAAAAGTTCATAAACACAAAACACATTTGTTGTGAAATTTAGAAATTTGATATTTCTACTTACCATATTTCAGTTATTTAAATGTTATTTATTTGAAGGATTTTCAATTGTGAAACTCAAGCTGCTGAAACGTTAAATGTCAATCAACAAAATATTTAAATTGAAAAAAAAAACAAGGAGTTCAGATGAGTACATAGTACATATAATAATAACTTATCTAAGATTTAATCTGTTGTATGTATTAATATTTTAAATATTTATAGGTTTTTTTGTTAAATTTTAAAATTTTAGACACCATGTGGGGTGTATTTAATTAATAGTTATAGAAAAGATTAACTAATCATAACCTAATTAAAGAGAAATTAGAATTGCAATAATATTTTAATATATTTTAAAGTTGTTTTTCATGATATTCGAACTTAAAACACAAACATACCACAGATGTTATCCACAATTTAGCAAAACAAACAATTTTATCGTTAATTTCCTAGTAGAATATTACAGTCTTGAAGATAAAGGTTTCCTTTCAACCACTCATTATTCTTAAAATAACAAACACTTCATCCAGTAGCTTTTTTTTTTCTACGTTTCGAAAAAAAAAAATCTTTTGTCTCTGTCAGGAAATTAAAAAAACTACATTGCCGAAATGTCTCTTATTTTCAAGAACAATACACTAGTACACAAAATGAAAAAAAAAAATTCTCCTCCTCAAATAAACAAAACATTTTCTGATTTAACTTTTTGTGCTGATTAACGTGGTATCAATATTTCTTCTTTTTTTTTCGATTAGCTCATTTTCTCAAGTTATGGATATAATGCCTTTTACCCATGATATTCATCTATTGGAAGAAAAGTTATGATATTAAACTTATTACTATATTAATAAATGCGCCAAAGATAGTGCGAATGAAGAAACAATATTATACATATTCTGATCTGATTCTGATCTACATATATTCATGTTTATATATTTTACTTCAATAATTGCCCTTATATATATATTTATCAAACTACTTACTCTATATCCATTTTCATTTAAAAATCTAATTTCTTTCCCTTTCTTTTTCAAAATTATCAGGAGAATTGTTTTTATATATAAAATGGAAGGTCTTAACAAAAAGATGTGTATGCGAAAAAATATTTTATTTGGTTTGATAAACATTATTTATAAAGATGCAGTAATAAAAATATATATATATATTCATGGATTTAAAGATTTTTTTTTGTGAAGTCTATTATATTTTGCTTGTCATCACGCATCAGATTCCAACAAAAATCCGCCACCATATGTTGATTCCAAAGACCATTGTATCGTTGCTCAATGATTTTAATATCTTGGTGGAAGCGTTCACCTTGTTCTTCGTTCTCTGCACCGAGATTATCAGGGGAAAAGTTTAAATGTGAATCCATAACGATTCTCGCATATTTCGGTGACTTATTATTGCTTAAAAAGTGTTTGACAACGTCGATGATGCAAGCCAAGCATTTTATCGTCTTCTTTCAATGTTGCAATAAACTCTTCGTCATTTATTAGTTTACGAATTTGAGGATCAATGAAAATACCTTCCGCTATCTTAGAACAACTAATCTTCGGAAATTTAGTCATTAAATATTTGACAGCATCACTATCTTTCTTTAAAAGCCTTTACAATTTTTTTTATTAACCCTAATTTGATATGTAAATGGGGAAGAAGCATTTTTAGTTTATGGACAAGCGGTTCAGTTCCAACGTTTTGTTCACCTAAGTGAAACATACTTCTTTCAGGCCACATTTTTTGCATACAGTAATCCCTCGTTAAGACGAACTCAACGGGAGAACGAAATACCCTTTTCGTCTTAAAAGAATATATACCGAATTCGTATTAGACGAATTGAATTCGTGGTATCCGGGGGTTGTACTTATGTACTACTGATGAGTAAGAAAACTACATTTCTGAGGAATAACGAATAAATTTATTTGAAAACAATATTAATGAAAATATTTTATAATTTTAAGGAACAACAATTATGTATATGTATGTACATAAAGTATTTTATTTTAAAAGACAATATGGATAATATAATCACAATGTAAGGCAATAACATGAGAATATAAGTTTATTTTAAAACACAAATAAAAAAGAACAACAAAAGAAACAACTTACATAATATACTTGGTACATACAATGTTTATGTGTATGCAGCATATGCAGTATGCATAGAGTATCCTATATCTGGGTTTTCTCTGCAGGCTTCAGAAAGTCTGTTATAGTTTTTTGGTGGTATTTGATTGGGCACTGTTTCAGACACTCCCTTCTTATTTTATCCAGGTCATCTTCAAAATGAACATCAATATCCGCAGAGGTTTTGGACAGCTTCTGGAGGGTTTCGAGGGCCGCGATTACTTCCCCTCTAGTAGGCATCATTATCTCTTCTTTCACCTCATCGTCTTCTGTTTCTTCTTCTTCTTTCTTCTTATCTTCTAATTCGGGTGAACCGAAAATTTCCAACCCTTCATCCAGGGCAACATACTCCAGGAAAGTCAAAGTCTCAGCTGGGTTTGTAGCTGAAAGGAGTTTGGTCCATTCTTCAGGCTCATCAAGCATTGTTTCTGGACGTGAAAACGAATCAGCTGTTTTCCACACCCAATGAGACACTTATTTCTTTAGCCTTTTCTTTGACAAGTGCGCCGGATACAGGAATATTATTTTGTCTACTTTTTTAAACCATTTTAAAAGCTCATCTTCCACGTCTTGATGGGATGCTTTTCGAAGTCGTTTTGAAGAGCTCGAAGACCCTGAGGCAACAGCCGCATCTATTTTTTCTTTGTTTTTTAGAATGTTTGATAATGTGGATTTCGCATTTTGAAAATTTTCGGCAATTTGCGACTTAGATAACACTCCACGTGCAACTTCGTCCAAAATTTTCTTTTTAAGGCAAGATCAATGGCGCTTTTTTTGGCTGGCAGGGGTCACCATGGCCCCTACATTTATCAGTCGAGAAAAACAGCAATACTGGCACAATAGAGTCGAAATTTTCCACTGATTGAGTACATGGAACGACCCCAAGGGGATGGTTTCATAGAAAATGAGTCATCATAACAAACAAAGGACGAATGTTTACACAAAAGACAAAGAGAGCCAATACTTGATATCAACGGCGTTTTTGTTGTTTTAATAGTTTATTATTTTACTTATAACTCGCCTTTAAAAACATATTAGAATTCGTTTTAACCGATTGATTAGTTCTGCTGGGGGCTAAATTTAATTCGTATTTCGTCATAACCGAATATTTCGTCTTAACCGGCAAAATCTCTTTGGAAAGCATTGAAATTTAACGGGGGAAAAGAAACGGTTAGCGCAAACCTAGAGTTCGTATAATCCGAGTTCGTGATAACGAGGGATTACTGTATAATGATTATTTCTGTCTCTGCTGTCCCACTTGCATAAAAAGCAAGGATACTTTGTGTTTCCTTTCTGCAAGCCCTGTAAAATTCCTATAATTTTAAGATCATACAAACTTTCCAACAATGCAGGTATGACTCAAGAATTTCTTAAGAGTCGAATAGGTTCTTTCATTTGGATTGAATAGGCAACTGGTTTGGAAGGTAATACACTACCATTGTGCAGCAAACAAGCCTTCAAACTTTGTTTAGAGGAATCAATAAAGAGTCTATGCTCGGTAGCATTGTAATTAATTTGCAGAGTTTTAAAAACGCCTTCAATATCATTGCAGTACACTAATCCTTGTTCTTTAGAAAAAATGGCAAAAAAACATTGTTCCCTATTACGATAGACAGAGATTTTGGTTTGTGTTAACAAGAGGTTCCTTTGCTTTAATCTTGATCCAAGGATTTCTGCTGCTTCTTTTGATAGCCCTAGATCCCTAACTAGATCATTTAATGATGCCTGATCAAATAAAAGTGGAATTCCACTTTCATTTGAAATAAATTCAGGGTCTTCTAATTGATGATCATCTGCAAATGCTGTGTGCTGATCATCCTTTTTAATATACGATTCTTGAACCGTTTTAGGAATCGGTATGGGATTCTCGAGATCGTGAGGAATAGGTTGGCTAGCTGATTGTATATTAGGATAAAAATTAGTTTGCTTCTTTTTGCTATTAAGGCCTGTGATTTTGCAGACACAGAAATAACAATCGTCATGCTGATTTCCATTGCAAAAGCCCTTGATAGCACGTTCCGCACACACTATGGGGCACCACCACTTGTCTTGATCACCTAAGGCCACACCAAAATATTCTTTATAGCATTCTTTTATCTTTGGGGTGATACGTTTCCTCTGTTTGGGAATTGTAAATTTTCCACAAATATAGCAGAACATTTATGAATTAGCTTTGCATTTACGCGGCATTATTTATATATTTAAAAATATTTATGAAAATAAATGTATTGTTAAACATTTTTATATAAAATTGCAATGGTATACATTTCATCTAAATGATGATTAAATTTTATGCTTACAAAGGCAATATCTTCAAAATATTTTGATGACAGCATTGACATCAGCTTCTTTATAAAATTAAATATTTTTGAAAAATTGTCGCTAATTTTGAAAAATGAAGGTTATATTCATGATATACGGGTTGAAATTTACTAGAAACAACTTTCAAATGAGAAGGAAAAGTGTGTGTACTAGTGATATTACAGTCAGTATACACAGTAGAACCTCCCTGTAAAGGACAACACCTAATTGCAGAGTCAAAGTGTCTTTTAGGGAGAGATGTCCCCTTACCGGAGAGTTACTAAATAGCAAAAATGAAAACTGTTCTTTGTAGAGAGGTGTACTCTAGCGCGAGTGTCCTCAAATGGAGATTGTACTGTAAATTAAAATTCAAATTTTGATAAGTTTTAGCTTCATGGAGGTTTCTGTTCCAAAAG